CTCTCTCTCTGGAGAAGCCCCCCCGCTGCTGCACGCACACCTGCCCGCCCTCCCCGCCTCCTTTTTGCTACTTCAGTATTCATCATCCCACTCCACAGCCTGCCTCAGTAGTTCTCTCAGCACCCCTTCTCTAAATATTGCTGCTTCTTCTAGGTATGAAGCTAAAATGCAGGGGTTAAGAGCATGGGCTCTGGAGCTCGACAGGCCTGACTGTGAATCCAGCCCTTCCAGTGACTGAGCTGTGTGATCCTGGGCAAGTTGCTTCTTGGGCCTCCCTGGGCCTCAGATTACTCATATGTAAAATGGGAATAATAATAACAGAATCTATCTCTTTCCTACCTCTGAGGGCTGGTGTGAGGATTCCATACATGTAAAGCTCTTAGAAGGATGTCTGGCATGTTGTAAGCTTCAATAAACATTAACTATTACTGTTAACATTATGGGTGATCCTCCCTGACTGTCGACTTCCCCTCATGACTTCTCCTCAGTAATGTGTTTTCCGTAAAGCTTCCTCTAATTCTTAGGATTCACCCCTTCCCGTCACCATTTTGATCTTTTGCCCCAGCTCTCTTATCGCGATTAGTTTTACCCAGGCCAAAGCTAAGCTGTTCTTAAATAATCTCTGCCGATCTGAAAGGACCTGGTCTCTGCCTCATTACATCTGAGATGCCAGTAAGTGGGGATGGATGTTAGAGAGGGATTACCAGCCACTGGCCTTACTAGGAGTGGCTATGGTGGGGAAAGTCCTTACAATAAAGCTTACGAGCTAGGCTTGGTGGCTCAGCCTGTAATCCCACGCTTTGGGAGGCTGAGGTGAGTGGATTGCCTGAGTCCGTGGGTTTGAGACCTGCCTGGGCAACTTGGCGAGACCTCATCTCTACAATAAATCAAAAATCAACCGGGCGTGGTAGCGCGCACCTGTAATTCCGGCTACTGAGGTGGAAGGATCACCGGAGCCCAGCAGGTCAAGGCTATAGTGGCTGGGAGCGGCCACTGGCCTGTCCAGTCTGGGTGACAGAGTGAGACTCCAACTCAAAAAAAAGCTTACAGAAGCTGCCTATTTAAGAAAAGGAATAAAAGAGGTCCCCAGAATGAGGTTCCTTAAAACTGTTTTCTGATCGCACTGTCTTTACTCCTCCTCTCTCTCATTGGTTGGATATGACTAAGCTCCTGTTGCTCTGTCATCTAGCCCTACTCAGGTTGTTCTGTTTTTGTAACCCTCATGTCTTTCCAGGCCAGCTCAGTGACCCTTCTGAGTTGTTCAGGACCAGGGTGTAGTACCATCTTGGCTAAGTTAGGAAGGACTAGAGTGGACAGGAGAGAAACTGGACTCAGCTCTCTGACTTTTCTCAGGTCCCATTATGTGGCCTGCTCTGGGGTTACAGGTTTATCTCCCTGTCCCTGACTTTGGCAAAGGTGAGGTGAAGGCAGGAGGGAGGGGGGTGAGTAATTTTTCACAAGCAATAGGAGAGCTCCCAAGTTCTGAGTTCGGAAGCGAAATCAGCTGTCAGGATCTCTCTTTCCTCTTGCATTCCCACACTGTAGTGTCCACCTGACTGCATGTCCGTTAATGTTGTTGATTATGATATTGAGTTTGACTGATGAAGAAGATTAACAGACTCATGAGTTTCCTTTTATCTGATATTTCGTTGAAGCATGGGACTTCTGGGGCTTTCCATCACTTCCTCACAGAAAGACAAGAACTCTTGCTGGTTGGCCAGCTGCTCAGTCATGGACTAGGAACTCCTTTTAGAGCAGGCCTGTTTTCAGCCTCCTGGGCTGTTTGGTCTCTTGCTTATGGGAGATTTGTTCTTTTCTAGCACTTGAATATACTGCTCCAGCTTAACTTTACTTAGAGAGGAGAATTTGGCCTTTCATTTGGGTATTCTGAGAAAGAGAACAAGCTGTGAAACTAAGGTATAGGACTCAGCTTGTGTTCTTTTCTTACAGGAGCTTTTTTTTGGAGCACAAATAATCCAGGAAGCAAGAGGTAAGAGATATGGGGTGAGGAGAATCGATTAATGACACAGTTTCAAGGGGGGAGAAGTAACCTATTGATTTCTCTGTTTTACAGATAGTAGGGGCAAAGATTGTGAAACTTTGTTGACCTCTGATGTGAGGAGCCCAGCCAGGGTTGAGGGCAGAACCTGGCAAGATTTGTAGCCTGAAGCCATGGGCCAAGGGGCCATGGTGACCTGAGACTTGTGGACTCTGTCCAGTTGCCCCCTGCTTCCCCTTCTACCTCCCCTACCCTATGCTAAGGGGACTTGTCTCCACCTTTTCAAGGAACTGCCCCTGAGGGAATCCCTTTTCCTTGTTTTCCTATTCTTCCATCCTCTCAAGAACTCCCACCTCCCAACCCCTGAGGTGGTCCCTGTCCTTCCCTCCCTTCTCCCGCCATGCTCCAGCTGTGGAAGGTGGTACGCCCAGCTCGGCAGCTGGAACTGCACCGCCTCATACTGCTGCTGATTGCTTTCAGCCTGGGCTCCATGGGCTTCCTGGCTTACTACGTGTCCACCAGCCCCAAGGCCAAGGAACCCTTGCCCCTGCCCTTGGGAGACTGTAGCAACAGTGGAGCAGCTGGCCTTGGCCCTGGCCCTGCACGGCCTCCAGTTCAACCTCGGCCCCCCAGGCCTCCTGAGACAGCTCGAACTGAACCTGTGGTCCTTGTGTTTGTGGAGAGTGCATATTCACAGCTGGGGCAGGAGATTGTGGCCATTCTGGAGTCTAGTCGTTTTCGTTACAGCACTGAGCTGGCACCTGGCCGAGGGGACATGCCCACATTGACTGATCATACTCACGGCCGCTATGTCTTGGTCATTTATGAGAACCTGCTAAAGTATGTCAACCTGGATGCCTGGAGTCGGGAACTGCTAGACCGATACTGTGTGGAATATGGCGTGGGCATCATTGGCTTTTTTCGAGCCCATGAGCATAGCTTACTAAGTGCTCAGCTCAAGGGCTTTCCCCTTTTTCTACACTCAAACTTGGGGCTCCGGGACTACCAAGTGAATCCTTCTGCCCCCCTACTGCATCTCACACGCCCCAGCCGCCTAGAGCCTGGGCCACTGCCTGGTGATGATTGGACAATCTTCCAGTCCAATCATAGCACGTATGAACCAGTGCTTCTTGCCAGCCTTCGGCCAGCTGAGCCTCCTGTGCCAGGACCAGTGCCTCGTCGGGCCCGGCTTCCCACTGTGGTACAGGACCTAGGGCTTCATGATGGCATCCAGCGGGTACTCTTCGGCCATGGCCTTTCTTTCTGGCTCCATAAACTTATCTTCGTTGATGCTGTGGCATACCTCACCAGCAAGCGCCTCTGCCTGGACCTTGACCGCTACATCTTGGTAGACATCGATGATATCTTTGTGGGCAAGGAAGGGACCCGCATGAAGGTGGCTGATGTTGAGGTCAGTCTTTATTTTCCGATTTTTAAGTTTCTGGCCAGACACGGTGCCTCCCCCCTGTAATCCCTTCACTTTGGGAGCCCAAGGCAGGAGAATCGCTTAAGCCCAGGAATTCAAGGCCAGGCTAGGCAACATAGTGAGACCTCATCTCTACAAAAATTTTCTTTTAAAAATTTGGCTGGATGCAGTGGCTCACGCCTGTAATCCCAACACTTTGGGAGGCTGAGGCAAGAGGATTGCCTGAACCCAGGAGTTTGAGACCAGCCTGGGCAACATGGCGAGACCTCATCTCCACAATAAATCAAAAAATTAACTGGGCGTGGTGGTGTGCACCTGTAGCCCCAACTACTTGGAAGTTAGAGGCAGAAGGATCGCCAGAGTCCAGCAGGTCAAGGCTATGATAGCTATGCTCATGCCACTGCACTCCAGCCTGGTTAAGCCAAGTGAAACTGACTCAAAGAAAAAATTGCCAGGCATGGTGGCACCGCCTGTGGTCCCAGCTGCTCAGGAGGTGGGAGGATCACCTGAGCCCAGGAGGTTGAGACTGCAGTGAGCCATGATTGTGCCACTGTGCTCAGCCTGGGCTACAGAATGAGACCCCAACTCAAATAAATAAATAAATACGTAAATAATACATTTTTTTTCTTAGAAACTTAGACAAGCTCTGGCCTGTCAGACTCCTTTCCTTGATTCTGAGCTTGTCATAGGTATCCTCCCTGCCCTTTCCAAGCAGGAAGAAAGCTACTTCTCATATTTCCTGCCCAGTCTGCTCTCTCCTGATTACTCGTGTTCCTGCTACTCTTCCCAGGCTCTATTGACCACCCAGAACAAACTCAGGACTTTAGTCCCCAACTTCACCTTCAACTTGGGCTTCTCGGGCAAGTTCTATCATACTGGTGAGCTTATTCCCCTGTTCCTTCTGTATAACTGTCTTGGTTTAATCTGTCCCTTTACTGTCCATCTCCCTGGGCAGACAAGTTGGAGAAAAGGTTAAGGTTTGGGGTCATAGTGCTGTGAGGAGCTAGTGGTGGGCATGAATTTAGGTTTGCATGGGTGGCTGGAGAGCAGGTTGGCAATGGGACAAATAGAAAGTCTTAGGTAGACAGGGATCAGTAATGTCCCCAGGATGGAAGGTGGTCATTGTTATTACAAAACACAGGAGGGCACAGGGACTGATTGTCTGTGGTCAGTGGTCAGTGTGTGGTCATAGGGACAGAGGAAGAAGATGCAGGGGACGACATGCTGCTGAAGCACCGCAAAGAATTCTGGTGGTTCCCCCACATGTGGAGCCACATGCAGCCACACCTCTTCCACAATCGCTCCGTGCTGGCTGACCAGATGAGGCTGAACAAACAGTTTGCTCTGGTGAGACCCTTGGACCTCGTTCCCATGCTCTCCCAGAGATAATACTTCCCTTTCAACCCTCCCCTAATGGGACACCCTTTCCCCACCCTTTCCATTTTCCTTTCTGTGGAAGCTTCCCCACCCTCTTTACCCTCTACTCCCCAAACCTCACCAGGTCCTGGTGAGAGTCTGTGCCATTCCCAGGAGCATGGGATTCCCACGGATCTGGGGTATGCTGTGGCCCCCCACCACTCGGGCGTGTACCCCATCCACACGCAGCTCTATGAAGCCTGGAAATCTGTGTGGGGCATCCAGGTGACCAGCACTGAAGAGTATCCCCATCTCCGCCCTGCCCGCTACCGCCGTGGCTTCATTCACAATGGCATTATGGTGAGGGACTCCCAATACAAATTTGAATCAAACTCTCACATTTAGATAGCCTCTAACCTGTATTGACCTATGTCCTTTCAACTGCTAGTTCAAGTTCATCCACATAATAGGGGGTAGAAGGGCGGAAAGTCATAAAGCGCATAATAAGAGCTTTATGGCTATAACTTCAGACTGAGTCCTCTATAAACCCAGGGAATCCTTGTGCCTTAGGACTTTTGTCCCTCATCTACTTTGCATTCTGTCTTTCAAATTTTATCTATCCTTGTTTCTCTTTTTTTCTCCAGGTGCTGCCCCGGCAGACATGTGGCCTCTTCACCCACACAATCTTCTATAATGAGTATCCCGGAGGCTCTCGTGAACTAGACCGGAGCATCCGAGGTGGAGAGCTCTTTCTGACGGTGCTGCTTAATCCGGTAAGGTGCCGAGAGGAAGGGCTGGAAGATTGGAGAACCAAGGTGTTTGCAGGCTGGGACCTTTTTCAACAAGGCTGATTCTGAGTTGGGTTAGGCTCTCCAAGTCTGACACAGAGGCACCCCCTTGCAGATCAGCATCTTTATGACCCATCTGTCCAATTATGGAAATGATCGGCTGGGCCTATACACCTTTGAGAGCCTGGTGCGCTTCCTCCAGTGCTGGACACAACTGCGCTTACAGACCCTTCCTCCTGTCCCTCTTGCACGAAAGTACTTTGAACTTTTCCCTCAGGAGCAAAGTCCCCTTTGGCAGGTAAAGGTGGAGCTCAGGCTGACTAGTGACATGAGGAGGGATGGGGGTTTAAGGGAAGAGACTAGGCCTTACTCGATTCTTGGCCTTACCTTCAGAATCCCTGTGATGACAAGAGGCACAAAGATATCTGGTCTAAGGAGAAAACCTGTGATCGGCTCCCGAAGTTCCTCATTGTGGGACCCCAGAAGACAGGTAAGCCAGCCAGCTTTTCTTGCCCTGTCTTAAACACAAAGGATCATTTTGCCAAGAAACTCCCTTCTCATACCCACTCCTCATTAATCCAGTCTCTTGAGGCAGTGATTCTTAACCCTGGTTGTATATCAGAATCATCTGCCTTTTCAAAGATCCACAAGTGAATTCTAGGCCAGGTGTGGTGGCTCATGCCTATAATCCCAGCACTTTGGGAGACTGAGGCAAGAAGATTGCTTGAGCCCAGGAGTTCAAGACCAGCATAGTCAACATAGTGAGACCTTGTCTCTACAAAAATAAAAAATTACCCAGGCTTGGTGGCATGCTCCTGTAGTCCCTATTACTCAGGAAGCTGAGACAGAAGGATCACCTGAGTACAGAAGGTCGAAGCCGCAGTGAACCATGAAAATGCTACTACCACTACCCTCCAACCTAGGTGGCAGAGTGAGACCCTGACTCAAAAAAAAATGGATAAATAAAATAAAAGATCCAAAAGTGATTCTGATGGACAGTCAAGACTGAGAACCACTGTTTTAACTCTTCCCTGGGCCTCTCAGATTTTTCTCCTGTCATTGTAGTTTGGTCAAAGGGATTTTACTACCCACAGTGGTTATTTTCTCACGTCCTTCAGGCTCATACTATTGAGCCATCTTGTCTCCCACAATGGTCTGGTCTTTCTCTCCTGTATAGGGACCACAGCTATTCACTTCTTCCTGAGCCTGCACCCGGCTGTAACTAGCAGCTTCCCTAGCCCCAGCACATTTGAGGAGATTCAGTTCTTCAATGGCCCTAATTACCACAAGGGTATTGACTGGTGAGACTGGGCTCCCTTTGAATACTTCTCAGAGGAACACTCCCTTCCCCATTCTAGCTTCCCCCAGTTCAGACTTCTGGCCCCTTCACTCTGCAAATTTCTCTGCCTCTCTCCTCTGTGCTACTTCCTAGGTACATGGACTTCTTCCCTGTGCCTTCCAATGCCAGCACTGACTTCCTATTTGAAAAAAGCGCCACCTACTTTGACTCAGAGGTTGTACCACGGCGGGGGGCTGCCCTCCTGCCAAGAGCCAAGATCATCACTGTGCTCACCAACCCTGCTGACAGGGCCTACTCCTGGTATCAGGTCTGCCTGAAGCTAGGGACACATTGGGCTTAAGGTTGGGGGAGGTGTTGACTACCAGAGAGACAGAAAGGAATGAGGGTAGAAAGACTAAACTAATGCTTATGAGAGGGGTGCCTGTGTTCTGACACCAGACCAAGAGTAAGGGCAGAAGGGCAGAAAAACACTGTCAAATCACCGTACCTTTCCTTTATTACTCCTTGTCCTTTAGCACCAGCGAGCACATGGAGACCCAGTTGCTCTGAACTATACCTTCTACCAGGTGATTTCAGCCTCCTCCCAAGCCCCTCTGGCACTTCGCTCCCTGCAGAACCGCTGTCTTGTCCCTGGCTACTATTCTACCCATCTGCAACGCTGGCTGACTTTCTACCCTTCTGGACAGGTACAGTTCCCAAAGAGCCCTCATTGGGTTCCCCACTTCACCTCCTCTTCCCTTCAGCCCAGAGGCTTCTTAGGAATATAGAGGGAACCACATCCCTGTCCCTTTAGTTGCTGATTGTGGATGGGCAAGAGCTGCGTACCAACCCAGCAGCCTCACTGGAGAGCATCCAGAAGTTCCTGGGTATCACACCCTTTCTGAACTACACACGGACCCTCAGGTGGGAGAGCATGATCCAGGGGAGGAGCACGCTGGGGGAATCGGGGAAGCAGGTTGACCATGTCTATTTGGAAGAGTCATGGATTTACTGTTTCACAAGTAGAGACATGTGTCCCTGTGGGCTGGGAGGGGTAGGTACATTTATGGGGCCTGAGTTTCTCTTCTCCTTGCCACCTAATGGCCTCTTCTGTTGAGCAGGTTTGATGAAGATAAGGGATTTTGGTGCCAGGGACTTGAAGGTGGTAGGACTCGCTGTCTAGGCAGAAGCAAAGGCCGGAGGTACCCAGATATGGACACTGAGGTGAGTAAAGCCTGGGGTAGGGTATCCTTCACCTCCACAGGATCAAGGATCTGATCCTGTGTCCCACTCCTTACCATTTCTGCCTTCATTTCTCCTGTCAGTCCCGCCTTTTCCTTGTGGACTTTTTCCGGAACCATAATTTGGAGCTGTCGAAGCTGCTGAGCCGGCTTGGACAGCCAGTGCCCTCATGGCTTCGGGAAGAACTGCAGCATTCCAGTCTGGGCTGATGTCCCAGCCTTATGTGCCAGCAAAAAGCCCCCTGCTTCCCTAAGGGGCAAGCCCAGAGCAGGGCTCATAAGGGGAATTAGAGTGGCCTGGCCCCTCCCCCTTCTACCTCAGTGGCCCCTAGGCCTGAGATGGCTGAGAAGGGAAGAGTATCCCTTTCAGATAGTTCTGGGGCCTAACAAAGGGGCTTCCCTTGGTACCCCACATCATGGTACTAGGCACCTTTGACCCATGATCTTGAGAGGTGGGGAGGAGCGAGGGTCCAGGCAGGGTATAGGGGAATGTATTAGTCCAATGACTTCCCTCTTCATCCCCAGCATTGCATCTATCTGTACCTGGCTGTGGAAGGGACCCCTTGCTATGGCCCCTTTAGTCAGGCAGTGGGATCTACCTGTGGCCCGACCTCCCTGATGTCATTCACATTGAATGGGGATGAGGTCGGACAGTGGCTCATGGAGCTAAGTATGAGCCCTAGCTGTGGGCTAGAAATGTCCTTAATAAACATCCTTATTTTTCTGTTTTGTCTGCCTCACTGGAGTGGGAAAAGCCTAGAATAAAGCAAGTATCATATGTTTTCCCCCAGTTCAAGTTTCATCTGCACATGGAGGGAAAGAAGGAAAAGGCCCAGGCAGACTAGAGTAAAAAAAGGAGTTTATATATTTATAAATGCCAAATAAATACCAGAGGCCACCCAACGCCCCCTCCCAGACAGGGCTGTCTCCCCCAGCCCTAGGTTTCTAGGGTCTGAGACATCTTGGCCCCAAGCTACAGCCCAAGAGCAGCTGCCAGTCTGGGCTACCAGGGAACTGAGTGGAGATGGTCTGTCCAGCCAAGATTCACTCCCCCTGTGTGATGGGCCCCCACAGCCACAGGCCTGTGTCCCTGTATAGGACCCTAAGGGGGAAAAACTCAGGGGGAGAAGGTGGTCATCTCGAGTGAGACCCGCTGCCATAGCTCCTTGGTCTGTTTGCTGCGCTTGAGGTTCTGCAGGATGTCGTTGAACTGCATCATGCCCATGGGTGTCAGGCAGAAGGCGCTGCGGGCACTCCGGATCGCATTCACAAAGTCGTCGTAGTCGGCAGGGGTCAGGTGAATCAAGCGATGGTGGATGTACTGGAGGAGGATACGAGCCTTAGGACAAGGCACAGAACCAGCCCCTTTTCACTTAAATGCTAGGCGATCTGATCCATGACCACCCAGGCAGTGCTCTACTCTGCTCCATACTTCCCAGGTTGTCACCTGCATGTACGCCTGCTGGCAGCGCTGCACCAGTTGGTGGAAGGCCGGGGCACGCAGGTGGTTGTGGGCATGAGCGGGGCTCAGCCGCTGCAGCGTCTCCATGACGATCTCCTGCAGCACAAACGGGCTCAGCACCCCCTTGGCTGCCCCCACACAGAACTGGTGCACGTAGTTCACTCCTGGGGGGCAGGGGGGAGGGGCATGAGACGGGGGTGGCCACCTCTGCCCTAGGGACCCAACTTAATATCTCAGCTCTGGCCTGGCAGAGAGCCTCCCTCCACCCCAGGAGCTGAGGTAACCCTCCGCCCCCCGCGCACGCACACATACCCGACCAAGGCCTCAACTCTGAGCAAGAGCTAGGAAGGAGGTCTGGGATAGGAAGGTGGGGGGAGCAGGTCGGGGGGCCAATGGTCCTGGGGAGGGGAGGTGTTACCCAGCTTTGCTGCCAGCCCCAGCAACCATTTGACATCATCAGTGTAGGGGGGGGAGCGGGAGAAGTTGTTGGGGTGATCGTTGTGTGCCCGGCGGCCCAGCATCTCCAGTGCCAGCATTCCTGGGAGATAAGGGTGAGCACATGGTGGAGTGCATCCTCTTCACCAACCTGGTTCCTAACCCCACAGCAAACAAGCTACTGGAGAGGGTCCTCTGAAGAGCCTCTGGCACCACTGCAACTGCAAGTAGGGGCACAGAAAGGGACCTTCTCTCACCGACACGGTAGGCAGCGTGCAGGTGGTGCAGGCTGTGTGGACTGACAGGCTGACTGTGTGTCTCTTCTTCGGGTGGTGGAAAACCTCCGCTCACCAAAGGGCTGGGCTGTGTGGTTAGGGCAGGCAGTGAGGCACCCTGGATCGCTGGAAACGTGGATGCTGGGTGGACACTGCTCACTGAGGGTGGAATGAAAGCCACGTGAGGAGTGCAGAGCCCAAGGAGGGGCAGAGAAGATTCCCTCCCCACCTTCCCTGCCCAGTGTACCTCCCCTCCATTCACCTGTTCCCTGTCCCCACAACTCACAGGCCACACTGGTGGGCAGTGGAAGCCCTGGCTCTGTGTGGTAGGGATGTACTGTGATGGGTGCCATGGAAGGGACGGGGAAAGACACGGCAGTGGCAGCAAGTGAGGGAGGAGTCACCGAGTAAGGGTACTGAGCCCCCAGGAATGCAGGATGCACACCCTAGAGACAAGGGGAAGAGAGAGAAAATGCCAAATTATGTTAGGATGTAGCTCTCCTGCTTTGCCTCACAAGTTGGTATCCCTACATGTCTTATCTTAGTCGGGCTTGGTCCCCTAGACTCCCACCACCTCACCAAGACCCTTGAACAGCCCTAATATACTTCCAGAGTACCCTCCTTGCAACTCCCCATGAATTCCCAATATTCTCCCACATGTCCCACCCCTCAGCAGAACACTGGTCTTACCTGTGGGTATGCAGAGCTGGGCACAGGGAAGACGGCAGGCCGGGGCATGTGAGGCATGGGATGGGCAGGATGAGCTGGGTGAGTGAGGTACTGAGGGCTGCAGGGCAGGTGGGGCTGAAGAGCAGTGTAGGGGTGCAGGCCAGGGGAGTGACCATGCCCCAGTCCTGGACCTGGATATAAACTGGACCCCACGGAGATGACTGGCACCACTGTGGCTGCTGCTGTCACTGCTGCGGCTGCCACTGTAACTGGCTCAGTCCCTGGGCCCCCTCTGCCCTCAGGCAGACCCCGCCCAGCCTCCCCAACTGCCCTGAGCCCACTGGCACTACAGCCTGTAGCCCCTTCACGGACTGTGGATGAGCCACCTGCTGTTTGCTCATATAGCCAGAACCACTGGTGAGCAACCTCAAACAACACTTCGGGGTACACGCCCCCACCCTTTGCCGCCTCTTCCACTGCCATGCAGGCCTTCTCCAACATCAGGTTATCCTGGAAGGGAGGAGCACAGCATTAAGGGGGAAAGGCCTTTACCCTAAGGGATGGTGTCACATGACATTCCTATGTCTACCTCAGAGCTGGCTGATTCCCAGGGAAGCATCAAAGGTCAGGGTCAATGCTCAGAGTCAGTATCAGAGCAGCAAGTGCTTCCCACAGACACTGAACAAATACTAACCAAAAGAAGTCAAGACCCAGGTTATGGTCCCAGTTCCAAACTAATAATTCCAACCCCCTCCCATCTAAGTCTCATTTCTATGAAGCCTTCCCTAAATTTTCTATCCTGGGTGATCATCTTGGTCCCTAAACTTTAGGCCTCCATTTCCTTATCTATAAAAGAGGAATAATCCTAACATTAGAGTTGTAAAGGAAATGACGGATATAAAAGCACATTAATGTGGGAAAAAACGTCACCATGAGAAGACATACAATAGTTTGTAAACTCTAGCATATTGGAATCAAGAACTGGACCCTCAACTGTCCCCATGCCCAGCCTCCCTGTCCAGATGCCCGTAAGTGGGTCCCCAGATTGCCTGTGGAAATACCTGCTCCTTGCACTGCACCAGGGCCCGCTGGATCTCATTGGGGTTCAATGCATGGGCATGAGGCAGGCAGCTTAAGGCCAGCTCTGCCGCTGCCCTCACCATATTGGAGTCTCGTGCCCGTGATGCCCTGTCAGCCAGGGATGCAACCTCAGGGGGTGTCAAGTGCCCATCCCAGCATTCTACCAGTATAGTCAGGGCTGCGCTGCCGATCTCCATTGCCTGGCCTTTGTGGAAAGGAGAGAGGAGCACAATGGAGTTAGCGTGGGTACTGCTGGGGTGTGAGAGTCATCATTCTATCAGATCGGTCAACTCCACAAACATAAGGCTCTTATCTCCACCGATTAATGCCCCGCCCATAGCCATGTCAGGACACAGGATTTACCTGTAATCCAGGAAACGTGGGAAGAATAGGTACGTGAGAGCCAGTTGGGAGAAACAAAGTTGTGCAGGCCAAGGGCATAAAGCCCAATCTCGAAGGCGCAAAGGTGCAGGTTGCGGTGAGGACCCTGGTGGCCCCCTGAGGAAGATGGATGTGTGAAAATGGAAGTGCTGCTGTTGCCCCCTGCCTTGATCAGCACTGTCTTCGCCAGCTCGAAGTAGAAGTGTGCAGCTGCCTCTGATGGCTGATTGGGTACATGGGGGGCATGACTCTCTGGGCGGCGGCCCTTGTACCTGAAGGGGCAATGGGGTAGGGACGGGAGTTGGGGTTTCTTTGAAATGGGTGTCCAGGTAGATTGGGAAGGACCAGGGAAAGTGAGGACACTGGGGGACAATGGTTGGATCAGAATGTAGCTCTGAGGGTGGGCCAGATCAGGGGAGATGAAGATTTCTTCCCACTGACCTGCCGACATCAACTGTCTTCGCCCGGGCTCCTCCAATGGCACTGGCACGGCGACTTCCACTGGAAGATGAGGAGCCCAGGGAGTCCGAGGAAGAGCTGCTAATGCTGTCACTGTCTTGTCCTCGACCCCAGGAGGTAGGGGCCCAGCCTCCTCGAAGTGGCCTCCGGCTTAAGGTGGGGGAGCTATCCGATGTTGTTTCCGGGGCACTGCTGTCAATGCTGGCCATCCCTAACCCCCCAAGACAAATTAGACTCCAACCTTCAGGAATATCCTTCCCTCTATGCCATCCCAACCCACCCCACCCCACAGGCTGTCCTACCTGTGTGCTTCTTTTTAGGCCGTCCTGGGGAGCCCCATCCCCGTCCATTGTAGCCTCCACGACTGCCAAGTGCCAAGCGGCTGGGAACCTTCCCCTCCGGCCTTGGAGTCAGAGCTGCCTCAGATGGGAGACCCTCACAGGGGGAATGTGGAGAACTCTCTAGGTAGGGAAAATGAGACATTGGGATGAGCCCAGAAAAGGGGACCCCAACGTGGCTCCATACCATTCATACCCCCTGCCCAGTGCCCCCACCTCACCAGGCACATTCTTCTCTGTGAAGCCCTCAGTGGGGCCTGGCCCAGCCCCTGCCACACTCCCTGGCTGAGCAGGCCCTGCAGAGCCTGAGGTCAGTGGTGGCAGGGCCCCTGGGGCAGATGGGCTCCCGTGCTTTGAAGGAGACCTCTGGCTGGCTGTGGCTGGGCGGCTAGATGAGTAGAAAGAACTTAGCGTCTGTGGCTTATGTGTCTGGCTCTCTCGGTCCAAGAGTTTGTCTAAGATCTGGAAGACAGAGAAGCAATAACCTCCAGAGAAGCAGTGACAGGATCCCCTTTATCTCTTGACTTCTATTACCTTCCTTTCTCTTTGAAACAGCCAATTGCTACCTTCTCAGGAAGGCTTCCCCAGATATAATTGTAGGTAGCCTCCTGCCTTAAGTATCTTGGTCTT